CTTCCATCTGTCAAAAGCAGTTAGCGAATTGGCCTACAGGGCTCCACGGGCTAGCAAATTGATTTAGTCTTTTCTTAAGTTAACTGTACCTGGTTCGGTTCCCGGTTGGATCTATGCGAAAAATTATTTGATCTATATATAGTGTTTCGTAAAATCAGATTTTCCATTTTTAATTTAATTATTCCAACACAAATTTATTCAATTTATTATTCAATTCATAGTGTTCCATTAACTAACATAAATCAATATTTATGTGATAAGTATAATAAAATTTGCTATATTTAGGATCAGGAACAAGGAAGAATCCAAAGCGATATAGACTTAAAGCATGCATTTTGACCCACTCTTTGAATTAATAAAACAATTGAAAATGTATATAATGCGCTATAATAAATCATCTAATAAAGTAACATTACCATGTTAATAAAATCAAATAACGTGGGTATAAAGTCGAAAAGTGGCTGTTTACAATAAAAACCTAAAATCGCTAGAACAAGATTATATGGATGGAAATCCTACAGACTCTAGATGTTTACTGCACGCGATTATAGACTTATATTGTACAAAGCCAACTTCTCGAGACTTAAAATAAAAAGTCCACAAAACATGAAAATAAAATGTAAAATAATTCCAAGGACGTATCTTTTTACATAATATCGGCAGCAGCTGCTCTCTTACAATTAAAACTAAATCGAACGAGCATACATTAAAACAACTTATTCATTAGGCCTCAATAATGCATATTATGTAAACCCGTCGTCGTGCAAAATCAGACCCAATTATGAGTAACACACGGGCGTATTTACAATTACACCATTTTAATCTTTGTATTTCTGTCTACTGAAAACTGAAATAAGAGAAGTCAACAACAGACCAAATTAGTAAATGTACAAATTTACTATTAAAAGACTTATAAAAGCTAAATAAAGTTTGAAATAACATTGAGAAATTTTACAGTTTTAGATAACTTGACCTGTGGCTGTATGTACAACTTATTTATTCATCTTTCACTTTGATAATGTTTCTACCCAGCAAATAATTGATGGCATTATTACTTTAACATTTCATGATTTCAAATGATTGGCATAGTTACTTCAACATTTCAAATGTTTGGCATAGTCACTACCAACATTTCAAATGTTTGGCATAGTCACTACCAACATTTCAAATGTTTGGCATAGTCACTTCCAACATTTCAAATGATTGGCATGGTTACGCCTACATTTCAAATGTTTGGCATAGTCACTTCCAACATTTCAAATGTTTGGAAACAACATAAACAACTGGTATGGTATACTTTATACATATGGTAGTACTTTACAGCAGTATATACGGAAAGGTGAGACTGCTATTAAATTCACAAAAAGCAAATATGGATAGCCATGTGAGGTGCCAGCATTGCAGCATGTTATATGTCATTGTACGAATAATGTTAATAGATATGACTGCTGTATATAAGTAGAAATAACCTTTTTTTTTTCAATTTCAAGGATTTCAGCCAGTCTGCCATTTTTAAACGATAATGGCTTGAGCCGGTCTTTTCGAAAACGGAAATCTCTTTATTTTATCCAGATTAATATGTAAGTAGTGTACCCGCAATATTGTAGTTGTTACAAAAACTTCATTCAGTGAGACTTGCAAAAACTTTATAAGGGTTGCCATCTTTATAAAAACCACAATTTAGATTTTAGACTCCAATAAAAATTACAAAATACAGCATAGCTGATTCCATTTTTGTTTGAGGCATTATCATACATGTTTCTTATAATTCCACGCACACATAATTGATTTGATAAAAACTCTTTTATACTAGTATAAAGCGCGTTTAACAGAAATTTTACATAATTGAGTACATTATATCGTATTTACAAAGAAATTTTAATGAATGTTTTTCCAGAATTTACAACTTTAGTACTTAAAAGTAAAGCGTTAAACTCACAACTTCCGTACAAACAAATCATTCTAAAACTAAGTAGAGCTAAACTATGGCCATAGAAATACATAAATTAAGTGCTAGTTTAATGTGTAATCTGTCTCCTACTGGTCTGACCTCAAATCCTTGCATGACACATACATGTCAAGTTAGTATGACATTTGAAAGATATTTACATTGAGCACGTGAATTTTGAGTTAACTAAGAAAGTTTTCTAGCTAATTCTAAAGACCAATTAGGTTATATTTTCACAAAAAAAAATGTTTACTATCTTCAAAAAAAATTTTTTTACACTTTGAAAAAACTTAACAACCTTAGAAATTTTGATTGTCATAAATTGATTCAAATTAAACTACTCTCACGATCGTAGTTTAAAACTGTTTCCACTATTTTTTTTACAAGATTTTTAAGTTACTCAGGTAACTCAGAATTCATTGTGTATAACATTATAAAATAGTAGTCTTATGTTTATTTATCTCATATCGAGCACTAATTCCAAAATGTAGTTGAAGTTGAATATCTTTTAAATGTCGCAATCGAAAGTATAGGAATTGATGTCAGATATATATAAGTCGCGGCACGAAATTCTAGCGGTGTCCGTTATTGCGCAGAAGATTATGTGTTGGGGGGAAACGAGGTGCGCGGGTGGGCGTGCGTTGCGCCGATTGGCTCTCCAGTCGTACCCATGCGCATTTTTTTTGAGTGTTTATGCTCAGTGGCGGGGCAAGACCTAAATTTGATGTGGGCAAGACAGATTTCGCGAGGCCCTGTTCTGTGGCGACCTTAAGACAGATTTTATAAAAAAAAATCACTTTTAAGCAATGCTTAAAAAATTTTGAGGCGCGGGGCCCCTTGTACCGCGAAGCCTTGTAGGCGGTGGCCCACGTCGCCCACGCCTTACGCCGCCTCTGTGTATGCTGTTTGTCGCAGATGAATTTACAGCGTCACCGGGTTTGGGGATGGCAAGATCGTAAGGGGACCTCAAGCCGAGAATTGGCGAGTGCCTCTAGAGGTATTCCAAGTGGATGGCATCTCCCCGCGGGGGGAATCTCCTCTCCGTCTGGAGTCTCTAGACCACTCGAACCTGAGGGAGTCGGCTCAACTAGAGGGCGTCTCTAAGACTCGGACCTCGGCTCTAGTTAGCCGTTGTCGCGGAGGACCCATGCAAAAGCTAACCCCGCCGCGTTTTGTTCAGCGCTAGAGTTACGTGCCGCGGCCTGTACAGGTTTGTGAACTGTAATTACGTCTACATATATACATAAATTATAAAAAAAATGCCCGTGATTCATGTTTATCGCACAAAAAATTCTCGTTACTGTGATGGTAATAAGATTGTTTTTACAAAACATTAAGATTGAAGGGTCACGTTTACTTCTGTTAATTTTTTAACCTCTTACTGTGTTCTGTGGTACAAACGTGCAAACTGCGCTCGTGTACAAGTTTACGGCTCGGGTAGAAACCGATTTGTCAATAAGTGCCCTAATTGCGCAAAACCACAAAATAAAAGTTAATTAAACATAATACATTAAGGTAGTAAACGTAGAATTTCATAGTTGGCGTCACGTAAATTGAGCCCAAGAAAGCATTATGAATATGCATTGTACAAAGTCATGAGTAATTTGTCTACTACTGTAAATTGAGTAAAGCCACAGAGTAAAGAAGGCACAGAGACAAAACTTCATACAATGGAGATGACAAACGTTTTTTTCCTAGTAAATGCCAATAATACCCAATTGCTTATTTTTCTATTTTTTTATCTCAAAAAATGTCTTAGAGAATGAAGTTTTAAGAATGCATTTTTATATTTTCCATTATGCGTGCGCGATAGAAATCTATCTAACTACCAATAGAAACGTTTCTCTGCATACGCAATAGGCGTCAGTGCTCACTAACTCACGCGCACTTCATGAAGTTTTACCTCTGCACCTTCTTTTCATCTTTGTAAAACATCATGGCTGCTTTTATCTTACGCGGCAACTGCTACGTTATATCACGATTTTAATACAATCGCCAAAAAATAATTAAGATCTGTTTTATTATATACAAAATAAAAGAATGACGATTTACGTGCAAACGCAAAGAAACAATTAATCAACACATCAGCTTTTTCAGTCGTTCTGTCGAATACAAATATTTCTGGAACTACTAAACCGATTTTGAAAATTCTTTCACCCGTTGAAAGTTACTTTTTCCTGCCCCCTAGCATGAGCACCAGCGATATAATATAATATAGCCCGCTTTTATCACGCTCAATTGTCAAATTCCTATAAATTGTTATATGTTTAATTTTTAGGCATTTAACTGCTAAATATTTAAATCTACTAGAAAAAAATCCACGCGGACCAGGCAGCAGATGGGACTCAAACCCGCACCCTTCGCTATCCGGACGAATGCACTGACCAATATGCTACCGCGGCCGTAATGGCCGTGTCGAATTTCTCTATAATTTCTTAGGCTGCAGGGCAGAGCCATCTCTTCGCATTGTAGGTAACCCATAATGTCAAATGAATACCTTTACAAGTATAAAACACTAGCCGTGCCCCGCGGTTTCACCCGCGATTTTCTCGTTTCCGTGGAAATACCGAGATAAAATATTGCCTATATTATAGACTCCCTCAATAAATGGACTATTGAATATTTAAACAGTTTTCATATCAGATCAGTATTTCCCGAGATTACCGCGTTCATAACAAACAACCAAACTTTTCAGCTTTATAATATTAAGAAAAATATAGATTAAGTTAAATTGTATAAGTCGCAGGCAATATCATATAATAGCTGTCTATCTGTTCGACATTCAGCCAGACACATAATATTACGATACATATTTAACGTAGTTTTTTTTCTTCAGACGATTTAATAATTATTTTGAACACAAAATCGGTTATTGTGATTAAACCATGATAGCTAGATATATGTTCTCGCGGACTTTTTTGTAGGTCTTAATGGGATCTACAAACCCGCAGTACATCATTTTTTTCTATTGTCAATAGTTTTTGCAGCGCACGCAAAAATAGGTTTTTGATTTTACACCTTGTGTTACAAAATAGCAATTTTATTACGGATCCCTAATTTTGAAAAAAAAATATAGCCTATAACCTTCCTCGATAAATGGACTACCCAACACTGAAAGACCAGTAGTTGCAGAGATTAGCGCGTTCAAACAAACAAACAAACTCTGCAGCTTTATAATACATATTAGTATAGATTTGAACATAAGCGAAGGGCGTGGGTTTGAGTCTCGTTGCTTGGTCCGCGTGGGTTTTTATGTAGTACAATTTTCTTTAAATTACTTTGAATTTAAACAGTTAAACGCGATTAAAAACGTGATATGTAATTGTGCTATATTGTTGTGATCATGCTACGGGGACTAAGTGCCATGAGGTATTTTATCGTGATGAAATAAATTTCACGCGTGCGAAGCCGGGGCGGGTCTTTAGTACAATATAAGTTGATGTTAAAATATGAATCGACTGAGAGCCAAGAAAAACTAATATATCGTTTCCTCTCTTTCTTGCATACATATATGTATAAATGTGTTTGTTACTCCCTAACAGGTATAAAATTACATGTGACATTTTCTGATAACAAACGAACATCTTTTGATTCACGCATTCTTTCAGCAAATGCCTCCACAATGCCTTACAGCCTCGACATATATAGCGAATACAATAGGTATACAGGCAGTCCTCGTACTTACGGCATGTTAGGTTCTCGAAATACGCGACGTAACATGAAACGACGTAAATCGAAACGACGTAAGTCAAGGACTGCCTGTATTTCTAAAATAAACTTGCAGCTGAATTCAGTGTTATGCATAAAAAACATTATATAGCAACATTATAAAGAATTTTCAGGTTCCTGTTTGGATTCCCGAAACATTAACTACAGCTGTATTGCTCCACGGTTTGATCTGGAATTTTTACTTCCATTAAAACTTCCTTATTGACTTACTGATTTCTGAAGTCCACTAGCAGACTATAAAAGTAATCATTTGTTAAGTATCCTGCTTAACAACTATGTCGAGACTGCAGACCCAAACTCCGGATACCCTGACCAAACCCTTTTAACCTAACCAGGTCATCTATCTGATTTTCCAGAGTGAAGATGATTCGGTGCATCTGCGAACGCGAACTTCAGCTTATAAGCCTCTGCAACGAGCATGCTTATATTGGAATCCGTCCAATTCTGCGTGGGAACGTTTTGTAGAAGTATCATTAGACCTTGGAAATCTCTTTCCAGCAGGAGTCTCTCCCTCCAATGTAAGAGAAAAGCGGCACAAACGTAAAGTTGAAAAGTTGCGAACCCGTCCGATTCGGCGAGGTAGGTATCCCATAGGCGAATGCTGCATGCTAAAGGTATCTCTCTTGTGAGTAGGTTATTCATCCAACGGAACGAGAACTGTAGGTAGTCTACTCCATGGCTTTGGAGATGCTCGTGTAGTGGTTTGTCTATACGTTTGATCAGCTCTTTGAGTTGGTTCACCTGGTGGAAGAAGTGGTTATTAAGTCTTTTTATTTTTGACGAGATTGCTGCATCTTCTATTATTCAATGGAATTCTTTAGGTATGTACTTGGTGCTAAACAAAAATGTATGTATGCTGAATGTTACCAAACTTAACTTAGTGTTAGATAATGCTAGTGATGTTTCACACTTATTTATAGTCTTCAGAACTAACTTGACAAATTAAATAATTTTATACCATTAATATATTTTAATGAACACGACGCAATAATTATGACTTTCAAATAAAGCCGGAGAAGTGTGAACTGGTCTCACGCATAAAAGAGTTTTGTAGTACCATTAATCCGTTATAATATATATTTTTTTTACATAATTTGGTAGATAATTGACTTCCCCACTTCATGTAAAGTGGTGGTAGGTCCAGTCACAAAGACAGCTGGAGCAGCAGTTATGATCTACCACACCAAACATTTGGGAAAAATACCCCTAAAAACAGTCCTTACCTTATACTGTATCCCGAGTTGAGCGAAAATGTAGTTATCCTGTATACTGTCCAGGAACTTGGAGAGGCACCAGAAGGAGTCAGCTTCGATGACGTCACGCTGCTCTTCAGTCAGCTTGTCCAGGGGATAGTTGTCTAATTCTTCTCCAGGAGCTGCCTCTTGCAGAAACACCATGAAGAATGGAGTCACCAGGTCGTTGATGCCTTGCACGTAGCCTGAAGCTGGATGCCGTATCGCCCATATGTATAAGATTCTCTCGAACATCACCTGAAAATCGTTTTTTGCCTTTTGCCTATTTTTAATGTCAAAAGTGTGACCACCAAGCATGTGGTTGCCTGGGAGTAAGCGTTCATAAAAGTCTGAACGCTTGCAATACTACATTTCTGGAGTATATTTTTTTTTTTATATTTAGTTCCGACAAATGACTCCACCCCACCTGATGTTAAGTTAAGGTGCAGTCCAGACGTGAAGATAGCTGATACAGCAGATATGTCAAGCATTGCGTACCATGAACTATCGGCCATCCTTTATTCCGTAGAGCTCTGTTAATCTTACTCAATTTTCCTTAATAAAATGGTATAATGGTCTATACTGTATGGGTCATCATCAGCCTATTAATGTCCCCACTGCTGGGGCACAGGCTTTCCCTATGGATGGTATAGGGAGATTGGGCCATGACTCACCACACAGGCCCAGCGCGGATTGGCGGGTGCTAAATACTGCAGATGCAGCCGGGACCAACGGCTTAACGTGCCTTCCTAAGCACGGAAGAACTCGAGATATAAGATTTTTGGTCACCCATACAAATGACCGACCGTTTTTGCGAATTGCGAAAGTTGCTTAACTTCAACGATCGCAGTCGAACGCGCTAGCCAACTGCGCCATCGAAGTAACTGTATGGATATTTACTGTTTAAGCACACCTGTACGAATCTGTTGGAACAGAGAAACAAGTCCCATTCATTTTTGACTTCTCTATATGTCTATCTTCCTGTTGGTATGTTCGCTTGGTCAGTGTCACAGTACTGACGCACCAGATCTACCACGTCACTATATTGGTTTACTAGTAAATAAAATTTACAACTCAGATATTTTGGCAACCTTATACATCATCCTATTCTACATCATAAAGTAGAATAGACTACTGCAGGAATTGCATTGTCAATTACCAAATTGAAATATTTATTGCATTGCCTGAAACACAAGTTTACCTAGTTCAGGCTATAGTATAAGTTCCATATCTTTTGTTATGTCTAGAATTAAGTAATTTATTGTAAACTGACATTCAATAAACATTTATTATTATTGTACTAAAGATGGAATGCTGGAACTTCACATGACTATTGGTATTTGTTATTTGAAAAGTTGACAACAGTCTCCCTTTTTCATTCTCCATAGAGTGTGATAAGGACAACCTGCTGTCAAAATTACAAATAGCAAATACGGATAGCCAAGTGAAGTGATGGCAGAAGACGCAGACAGTTGTGGCACATTTTTGTACTATTGCAGCTGCCAATGTTAACCTCTAATTGCGTTTCCTTTTATGTAATGCATTAATCTCTTATCTAATAGACAAGTCCGTCCGTCCGTCCGTGGTGCTGTTTCAGCGGCCAAACCGTAAGAGATAGATATAGAGAATGTTTAAGTTATAAGTTAAGAATAGTCTGATAAGACTACAAACCGGATGTGAGTAACGTAGCACTTCCGGTTTTCGAGAAATCACGTGATTTCTATTTCAAACGAAACCACACAAAATCTCCGAAGTTCTCAATTAATTAAATACTTTTTTTTTTGGTGAACATTTGGTTCACTGGTTTGCTAGTAAATAAATAATCGGGCAAGTGACTACTTGCAATGCACTGTCAATTGCCAATTGAAATAGCCATACCTGCACCAGTCTGCTGCAATAGTGCAACAAGCGAGCTCATCCTCCGCTTATCTAGGTGAATCAATCGCGTATAATATATAGACAGGTTATACGCCAACATTATTGCATTTTAAAATGGCACAAGTAGTCTCCGCCCTAACTTCCCTTGGCAACAGCCGCCAATAGGGCGCAATAAAGTATGTAGTCTCTTTCACTCTTCTTATTCATAAAGTAGATTACATTTCGTTTATTAGCCTCCACGTGTCAACGGTATCAGCAACTGTCAAAATACTTTAAAACTGTAATTACGAATGAAATGACTTTTTTTTTGTATCTAATAGCTGCCGTGTATTTTGTGTACTATCTTAAACATACATAGGGCTTTTGTCTGGTAAAATATTTACACGCTGTAGCGACGTGCAGGGGCGGCGAGACAGCGTGCCCGACTGAATGCAAGTCAGGCAATTACCTGATTTTCATATTGCCAAATTAGAAGCGTATATGACGTATCTATGTACGTATAGCGTATATGACATATAACATAATAAAGGTGAATCAATTGTAATAATTTTAGACCCTTTGACCACCTTATTATACCTATGTCTGCGACTGTATTACAACAAGAATATCAGGCATCATCATCAGCTGATAGACCTTCTCCAGGGATTTTCACATATAATGGTCTTGCGCTGTCAACTGCCAATTATTAAATAGTCATATCTGCACCGTAGTCTGCTGGAAGAGCGCTACTAATAGGCTTATCCTCGGCATGTCTTTGTAAATCAATTTAGAAATTTTGTATTATTAAAGGAATGATGGCTCATACCTGCACTGTAGTCTGCTGAAACAGCGCAACAAGCGGGATCAGTCGGTATGTATCGACGTCGCGTTCAGCATCGTAGAACTGACAGGCGAGGTGTTTGCGACTTTTGATTTTGGACAGTCGCCAACCGGTCAAAATATAAAATACCATCTCCGACTGACTTTTACATTTATTTTGCTTGAATTGCAATCATTTGAGTAATTGAACATTCTTTATTTACTTATAAGTTGCCGACTATACTACAATTCAAAGTCATACCTGCAACATAGTCTGCTGAAAGAGCACAAGGTGCCCACTCATCCTCATTATGTGTAGGTGAATAAATTCTTGTATCAGTTCTCAGAATTATTGTACTGACAAAAGAAGTACATAGAAATAAGGGGTTCATACCTGCACAGTAATCTGCTGAAACAGCGCAACGAGCGGGCTCATTCTCGGTATGTCTATGTGGATCTGTCGGTAGGTGTCGTCGTCGCGTTCGGCGTCGTAGTACTGGCGTACGAGGTGCTTGTAGTCCGCCCTCTTGCGCTGCAACGTCTCCGCCCGACGTTCGGTATTTGCGGGGAGGTAACCGGCTAGGAGACGCCATGTTATAGCTCTAGCCTGTAAATTTAGAGGAGAAAACACAATTTTCAAATGATCAAGTTGTTTCAATTTATTTGTAAAATATGTATTGTTGATGAACATGATAATGTAATAATTAATGTAGCCCAAGATCGATCTGAGTGGCGTGCATTTGGAGAGGCCTATGTCCAGCAGTGGACTAAGATGGGCTGTTGATCATGATGAATGAACTTGACTTGGGTCTTGGACGCTTGGCCTAAATGTTAATTTAATGTACAGTAAAAAAAGTACTAGAAGTATAGTAAAAAAGTTAATGTGTGTAAAAAAGTACATATAATAGCTGAGGCTGAGTAATAGAAAATAACAATTATAATCTCCTTATTTTCTCAATCTGATGTTTCATTAACCCTGTTAAAAATTACAAAAAAACAAGATTACTGCCTAGATTCTTCTTCCTCATAAGGATTTTTGCAGCATCTTCACTATAATTAATAAATAATTAAGAGGAAATATGTATATAAAGATGAAAGATGGCCATAGAAATATTATTACTTATAATATACTACTACAACAAATTACAAAGAAACATATGAAATCTTAAAAACACTATCTTAATTAATACAAACAACTAATAATGCTTTATCCGAAATGATAAACAATTTTTTTTTGTATTGAGTAATATTGATAAAACAATATAATACCTACCATCAGTATTATCAGATAATAGAATCTATCAAGTTATTTCTGATTTTCTCATTCAACAACAAATACATGGTTATATTGTCAACTAAACTTAAATCAGTCTCGCCTTTTCATTCTGTAAAGAGAATGGCAAGGATACACTGTTGCAAAATTTAATTTTAAGTTTAGAGGACCATGCCAAAATTGACGCTAACACATACATAATATTTTCCCTCTCTCTCAAAAATTTTTTGGCCTCAAGTGTGAGATTTACACATATTAAATTATGAAAACATTAATTGAGAAACCTCAGAGATAGACATGGCAATTGTTGAGTATTAATTATTGGATAATATTTAAATGATCTTCAAAAACTTTTGTTAATGAAATTCAAAAAATACCAATGCAATGATAGGTTAGATTAGGTTGGCAGTTGTATTTTTTGGTGTTCATTTACTACTTTTTTGGGGACCATTTATACATATGACCCTAAATTATTGTTTGGAAATAATAATGACATATGCATGAAGCATTAAAAATGAAAAAAGTTTCACTATATTCATGATAATATGGTATCTACCCAGCATAGCAGCTAAATAAAAAAACATAATATCACTTCTGCAGTGAACTTGAATAACCAGGCAATAATAATATTTAGTCAATGATTTTAGTACTAATACTGATATATTGAATAAGGACATAAGAATAAGGTCAAGAATAAATCATGACATAAAACATTGTTCATTTAATAAACTCCCCAAAAAAATACATTCTTATTATTTGAGTTAAGTGCAGTTATTCAGTTCAGTAATATCTAGGTTCATAAATATTATATGTGTTTTTTTATATCATCTCTCTTAATCAGGCTATTAATTGCATCACTTCTCAGACACAAGCCTTTCCTATGGACTGAATCATATTAGTGGGAAAATTCTTCCCTATAACACAATACAAGTCATAGTAACACAGGTCACTGTTTAATTTGAATTTGAAATTAGATCTAATTTGGTATTCTAAAATGGTCCCAATACAATAAAAGTGTGAGGCAATTAGAATGATAAAAAAAAATGTTTCTGAATGAGGAAACTACATAAACAAAATAAACTAAAATATTGACCAATGAGATAGTTACAACCAAGTTTCCAAGAAACAATCCTGTTCTAATCAATGCTAATCAAGTCAATTGACATAGTGAAATGACAACAGCAATGTGTGAGAACCAACCTTAACTGGTATGCCAGACCAACTGAGGTGTTTGAGCTCGTTCAAGTCTATAACTGCGTTCTCTTGTAGCTGCTGGAACCTCTCTAGCTTCGACTCGTTGCTCTCCTCTCGTGACGTCAGCGCAGACAGTCGCACGGGTCTCGGCCGCCCAGGATACGGTCGCATCGGACCAGCACTCACACCTGAACCACCCCCCACTTTCCTAACATCATTCTTCTTTGCACTCACAACTTCGTTTTGCGGTTTCACATTATCAATCTCACCTTTTACGTCACTTTTGTTTACGTTCTTACTACTATTTCTATGAGAATTTATCACGTTTAAAGCGACAGTTTGTGATATGGCCTTGGATATTCTTGTCTCGGCGATGCCAGAAATGATGTCGTCATCCCCCAGGTCCCAAGCATCGTTCACAGACGCCTGGAACTGCTGATACGATGAGCCAGACATAACCTCGCTTTGTCCGACCCTCTGACAGGGTCTGCCCGGGATCGCGCGCTGCGGTGTCTTCCAGAATGTGTCTGATAATACGCCGTTCTTGTCATATTCGGGTTGATAACTTTCCATAATAAAATATACCTAGAAACATTCTAAATAACTTTGTTGAACAAACAAAATAAATTGAAAATGTTCTATTCTATTTTTTGTAAAGGCTGGCTGTTGTCTCCTTAGACAAATTGAAAATGTTGATATGACATATCACTTGACAATAGACAACAGATGACTTGTCATGTCAGACTGTCAGAATTGCGGAGTTGCCACTATTGACAACTTGGAACAAGGGGAAATCTTTCGTCCATGATTGGCAATGATAATTTAGCAAAGATTTCGTTAGGTATACGGAATAACGATTATAAAATCATCAATCGTATCATTAACATCTTACGGAAGGAGCCAGTTTTCATCGAAACCTTGACGATGCGATACAATTACGGAGCACCGCACCGTGATCATATCACATCTCCGCCTCCGTTTATTACAACCAGTTTATTTAACAACATCTTTTAATCTTAGTAATCTGTGATGACTACAACTGAACCAGGCCGCTTCGCTGCTGAAAAACATACATATTTACTTCCTTTGATTCTAAAAACAATAATTTGTTACGTAATTTCTAGCATTAAGTACTTTAGTAATTTTAGCCACGGATCTTAGATTATCCATTTAGAGATTACATTCACTTTGGTTTTTTTATTCTCTCTCTTTAAAATCATAACTCATTATTATATAGCCAATGACCTCAGCTCTCCTCACCTCAGATCATTACATTGTAGGTATGTCAACTTATTTGTATCATGTTTGTATACAACAAATCAAACTAATCGAGTCTTTAGATTTTCTATTCATTTAACAAAATATCGAACACTATTATTTTATTTGGAATAACTACTAAACTTAGCTGTTTGTATCTTAGAAACCTATTTAATCGATAACTTCAAAATACTATAGATTCTCACAAGTGTTTATTGTGCTTCCCCAAATCATGGCAAATCCAAATCAAGATCAGGAATTATCCTCTATGTTTATGGAGAAAATAGACGTTAAAAGATCAAAGAGTCCGAACCATTCAGATTCATCATCAAAAAGCAGTTCCAAAACTAATCTGCCCGTGGAGATTATAACTGTGAAAGATTTTTTTGACTTCATGAAGACAGCTTATCAGGTTTACGAGCATTTGGAAGAAGACGACAAAGGAGTGAAAATTAACTGGGAAGAACTCACAAAATTGACAGTCATAAACCACGTAATCGAACAACAGGAACGAGACCTCCTATATCAAACGGCTTATTCTACTCAGAAGCCTGTTATCAGCAAGAGCGACACTGCTATAGGGAAAAAGAATAATGAAATAGAGCGTATAGAGAAGCGAGCCAGTTGCAGTGAGATTGAAGGCACGATAAAACAATTTTAATTTTAATTTCCTTGTTTTAACGCCATCTGTCATAAAGGAGAAATTTTTGTTTAGGTAAAGGGCGTCGTCGATCTCTGCCACCTGAAACTAGGGTAGAAATGCTTGGAGTATGGACGGAAGCAAATCTAAATTGTAAATTGAACGATGTAAGTTTCACAATTTAGTACAAACTATGTTTATAATGATAATTTATTTTGGAAGTTCACTATACATTGTTTAACTTACTTTATTCGTATGTTCATAGATGGCGCTGTAACCTATACATTTATTTTAGGTAATAAACGAAGGGATTTTGGATTCAATCTTACCATATTTAGTGGGATACAAAAAGCCATCAAAAACGACAAGTGTTTATACTCCTATAATAAAAAAAGCTCCATCCAATACTACTCTAGACGTTAAAAAACCAGGAAGTTTCGGTGGTAAATTAATCATTGTAATTACGTATCGCGTATTTAATGATTAAGATTTTATGAAAGTCACCCTTAAGGTTTATCAATAATATTTCATTTTAAAGGTTTCCTAAACGAAAAGGAATCCCGTGATAGATTGGGAAGACGCAAGTCTTCAGTCATAGCAGCTCAAGAACGTGTCAACCAAAAGCAAGAGTATGTTTGAAATTATTTTGATAGATGGCGCTCACTGCAATCATAATATGATGTTATATAATGTTTTGTATTTGTTGTTTAGATTTTTCGAAGCTAGTTTTCATCATTTTTTTCTAAAATAAAAAATAATTAAGTTCTATATTGAATTAATATTTTAGGTAAATTGTCTTATAATAATGTATTTCAACGTTATTAACAACATCCGATATGGTCTAGTGGCTAGGATACCTGGCTCTCACCCAGGAGGCTCGGGTTCGATTCCCGGTATCGGAATTCTTTTTGTAATTTTTGATTTTAATTTTATTATTCATTTTACAGTGGCGATGTAGAAATTCACGTTTGCGACGAAGTGAAGGGCTTGAAAAAAGATTTTAGATGCCCCCAAAAGTTGTTGGTATCCAAGATGGGTTATTTTGCTGACGTTACTGCGGGGCAAAGATTAGAGGATATGGATATTTCTGTTCACTGTGATATTCAGGTATCAGCAAGAATCGAGATATTTAAAAATTTTAGTTTATCTAGGAAGTACTTAACTTGTTATTTATTTAGTACGTATTTATTCACGGGGCATAATATGTACGCATGGTATCCATGCAAGTTCATAAAGAGGAAGTTCTAAATTCCATTGGTATTTTTTATATGAAGTATTCATCATTGATAAGACACCCTCCGGGGTATGTTGGGCCAGAATGTTTAAGGTGACATAATGTCCGGATGTTATAAAGACCGTTGGTCAATATGTACAAGTGTCTGAATGTCCAAGAAGTCGACATAAAGCATACGTCCTTCTCATACTTGTACTCACATATTTACCAAACCGGGAGGAATGTTATACGACCCCTGTTGTCTTAAATAAATAAATTTGAATTTATGCCATCGAATTAACATGATCGTGCTAGCCGGGCAGACAGATGTTATAAAACTTTTGTAGGTACTTGTGGTATTAGGGTTCCTTAACCAAAATGGCAAAAACTGAACCCTTATAGTTTTGTCACTAAGTCCCGTATTACACGGGCATATTACTGAAAAATTTAAATGACATGAAGATACGCTCTTTTACTGATGCACTTTTTTTATTTCGTATTATGGGCATGTACTGGGCATTCTATCAATTGGATGTTTTGTTAACTGGAGAGGACATTAGGACAATTTGGCATTGGCATTTTAACATTTGGGCATTATTTCCTTGTCATTTTGACACACTGGACATTCTAACACTTAGCTCCACATACCCCGGAGGGATATGAGAAAGAAATCCCAAGCATTTCTTTAGGGATTTTTAATGTCGACTTTTTTCAAATCATTTTATTTATGGGTATTAGATTTTTGACTGGCTGATGAGGTGGGTGAAACGGGACTCAATTCTGGTGGCGGACTGGCCACTGCTCGACCCCCACAACGTGGTACCTATTCTGGTGTCGGCGTCATTTCTTCAGGTAAGTAAGTACTTAGGTAATAATAAATTAATAATATCATCACAAAATATCACGTACTTTCTTTATGAGGTTGGTAAAACACCAAATCTATGTAAATCTTTCAATTATCTTTGTGTACTTTTATATTATTACTATAATAATACTAATCATATGTTTATATATTTTATTAAGCATGTAACTGCTATTTGTTTTAATTATTTAAAATAACATAAAAGTACATAAAGATAATTCAAAGATTTACATAGATTTGGTGTTTTACCAACCTCATAAAGAAAGTACGTGATATTTTGTGATGATATTATTTGTAACTTTTTAGTTAGTTATAAAATTAGGTAAATACGTTAGTAAAGTTGTTCTTGTAGTTTATTTCCTATTAAATTAAAAAAAAGGAAACTTACCAACAAACTTATGTTTTAGAAAGAATTCTTACGCACCCACTCGCGCACTCTTTTTAAATATAGTATAGTATAGTAGTAGGTAGTATGATAAAAAATAGAATCTCAATCTCAAAAATAACAGCAAACTTATATAAAGATAAATTACGAAAATGCACCAGCAGCTTTGATGCCTTTAAATTTTATGATAGCATGAATGGATGGAATGTAAATGACGATTAATGAAAAAGCAAAATTCTAGAGTAGAGACGAAATACAATAAAATTATATAATTACCGTCTTTGATTTATTTACATATTCACACGTACCTATTAGGCGATAACGGCGCCGGCCGGTGCAGGCAGATTACATTGTCTTTACTGTCTTGCTGGCTTCGATTTGCGGTCGAATCAATGCAGGATTTTCACTTTTTCAAGTGACAATTTCTTATAATTTTGTATTGAGAAGTTTAACCATAGATTAACTTGGCGAAATGACCTATCTCTAGAGCCGTAAAGTTTAAATAGCCCGCATGAATACTGATTATGCGTACCCCAAGCAGTAAATTAGTTTAAGTTATCACTTCTGTCGTGCGTTCCGAAACGCACACGCTTTTATATACACAGGTATTATCTGGAGCTCTATCGTGCTTCGGAAGGCACGTTAAGCCGTTGGTTCCAGCTGCATTTGCAGTCGTTAGAAGCCCCTATCTGCATTGGGTGGCCCGCTTGTCCCATTCTCCCTATGCCTATCGCATAGGCAAGACCTGTGCCTCAGCAGTGGGGACATTAATAGGCTGATGATGTGACCTCACTCATCATTGTGTTATACGAATGTCCAGATGGAGCCTTTGCTGCACGACTGCTTGATCTATTGCCACGCTCATCTGAACGACATAGTGAAGACTTCTACCAACCTTGCCTGCCTGAGCGATGCACTTCTTACCAGGTAAGGAAGTAACGTGGAGCCCTACTGGGGCATCCAGTGCCAGGCCCACTATATAGTATTTCCTTGATCTCCGGCCAATTTCTTCCTGAAAATCACATACTTTTCTTTGGAACGCCTCGCTGAGTTCCAGTACTACTTATCTTCTTTATTTATTTCGTGAATTGTTCAAATCCACTTTTCCAATTGTGCTGCAGATCAATAAGAATACATTTGGCATATTATTATGTTTGGATTGTTTGACTATAAGATTCAATGATTTGGTGCTATCGTTGTCCATCGCACATTAATTTTAACAAAGTAGGAGTGCAAAGAAAATTTTACTAGAAGTAAATCCACGTGGCCATGCAGCAAATGATGGGAATCGAACCGCACACACATGTTTAATACTTGTAAAGGTATTCGTTTGACATTGTGGGTTACCTTTTACCTACATTGTGAAGAGATGGCGCTGCCTAAGAATTATTAGAAGAAATTCGACACGGCCATTAAGGCCGCGGCAGCATAATCGGTTAGTGCATCAGCCCGGATAGAGGGTGCGGGTTCGAGTCCCGTCGGCTGCCTGGCCGCGTAGATTTTTTTGTAGTAAATTTTTCTTTAAATCTAAAGAAAAATTTACTACAAAAAACACATCGCGAACACACAAACACACACACACAACATCAAGCCTAACAGTTCAATGGTTAAAAAATAAAAATCTGAAGAAGTACAAGTGAATAAATAGGCGCGATGTGCGCACTAGATCATTCTAATGAGAATTTGCCCCCTAATATAATGCATAATTATAAAAATAGGCGTTTTAATAACTTCTCAGGTAGACAGAAACTCAGCGTTTCCCTTATATTAGGTTAGCGGCCATGTACACGAACGCGGAGTTGGAAGCAGTCCGTGACCGCAAGGATAAGGTGCAGTCTCGCCTGTACTGTAAGATGATCCTCTCGCTGGCCGAGCCCGTACCGGAGACGTTGCGAGGACATTATGCTACGTTGGCCACGCTCTTCAAATGCAGCAAGTACGCTTATGCAACAGTTTAAGGGATTGTAAAATTGTGCTATTTGCCATAGTCAGTCGCGAGCGCAAGAACAAGGTGTAGTCCCGCCTGTACTGCAAGACGATCCTCTCGCTGGCCGTCCCGTCCGTGTAGGAACATGATTCTTTCGTTAGCCAACTTTATGCTGAAGATACTGTGTGGACACATAGAAAAGCTAGCCACACTCTACAAGTGCAGCAAGCACCCGACGATTCTACATCCCCCACCCCCCTAAGATTAATAAATAGGACAATAACGAATGCCTGTATATAGTTTCTGCAGCCCCGCGCCCTCTTGGGCCTCGGTTAATACGCCCATGCTCCTGCCAAACACTGTCCTACCAGTTACTGAATAGCCAACTCCATTGCTAGGTTGGGAAAGTTATAAGTCCTCATCATCATCATCAGCCTATTAATGTCCCCACTGCTGGGCCACAGGCCTTCCCTATGGATGGTATAGGGAGATTGGGCTATGACTCACCACACGGGCCCAGCGCGGATTGGCGGGTGCTAAAGACTGCAGATGCAGCCGGGACCAACGGCTTAAGGTGCCTTCCGAAGCACGGAGGAACTCGAGATAGTAATTCTTGGTCACCCATCCAATGACGGACCACTGCGAAAGTTGCTTAACTTCAACGATCGCAGCCGAACGCGCTAACTACTTGCGCCATCGAGCTCCTCCTATAAGTCCTATTTGCGTTAAATTTAACCGCTTTTCATAAAAAATGTATCTTAATATATTAATTATTAAACAGGTGCAACAAGCTGCTGGGGCGGCATATCGCTGAGCAGGTACCGTGCCAACCCTCCAGCATGAGGATCGATCGTCGGGGAAACGTGATCTCTTCACACACTAAGTAAGTTGATGGAAGTTTATTTGCGAGATACCTTTATGGAATTTAATTTATCACGCCTCTTACCATCTGGCTTGATCCGCATCCCAGTCTCTCTATCCCAATTTAGCCCAATTTTCTATATATTATTATCTTTATATGTACCCGGAATATATTGTGTTAGAACGGCAAAGAGATTTTTTTTACGATGAGGTGTGGATCATGCATCTTCACTAGCAAAAGCCTCTTGAAGTTCCGTGTTAAGTATATTCTTAGTGTGATGAAAACATAATCATCACAATCAAAAATAAAGTTAAAAAACTTGATAAAACCACACTTATTGTGACCAGACATCTACTATTTGAAAGCTCTGTTAAAATGAACCAATTTAATCCGCTAATAACTCAATCTGGGGGTTTGGATTATAATCTAAACGTTTATCTAATCTAAATACAAAATTATATTCATGCGCTTGAAAGCGCGGTACCTATCCAGTCTGAAAACGATGATCCCTGCCAAAACTTAGCGGTTCAACAATGATATTTGCGGAACAATTATTCTATTTTTTTATTATCTCTTTTGTTTATGAGCTTTTGTCCGGTGACATACCAGCTCCATCGAAACAAACTAACGAGTACTGAACTAATTAATTAAGAATTATAAAATCATTACATTAGATTTCGTACTTGTGTAATATACTGGCATTTAATTACAATGCGGCTTCAGGTTCGGGGTTGTTTAGAACACTCCGAACAATCCTGATATACAACTTACTTTGAATTTTTGATATAAATATGTTTCTTTGAACCTGATTACGCTCACATTGAAAAGATGATGCAGGTCCTCAATTTGATGACATATTTCGCAATTAATCATTCTTGAATTTCAGAGAGCCATCTTGGAGTTTGAACGAGTACATAACGTGGTTGTACGGTGAGCTGCGTTCGTGGCGGCGCGTGTACTGGCGCTTATGGGCAGACTGCCACTTCCTACGTTGTCAGCTATGCGACAGCTACTTTCCTGCTTACCAGGTACCTTTGAGACCATAAACTGCTATAAATTCTTTGGGGACAATATGGTGTGCCGTTCCGGTAGAAATGAGTAGACAACAAATAGGTAGGTAGATGTAATTTAAAGCTATCTTACAAGTTTCTTTAAATATTATTTACATACAATTGTTTCTCTACAACTGTAGTTCACGTAACTAACTCCCTGTCAACCAATGTCCTGGCAGTCGCTTCGGTGAGCTCCCTCCACGTAGAAACGCAGCCAGATGCGGTGAGGATTTTATAGCCACCTTAGATATTTGCAAGAAATAATACCGATTCTGCTCCAGATTTAAGTAAAAATTTCGATTTAGTTCAATATGCTACTTATCCTTTTTTATTTTAAAGGGGTGGCAAACAAGCATATATATGGCCTTCTTGATAGTGATGATAGTAATTTTTTGGTCACCCATCCAATGACCGACCGCTGCGAATGTTGCTTGACTTCAACGAACGTGCTAACCACATGCGCCATCGATCTCCTACCCGCTTTGTCTTACCTCTCTTAAATTCCTGTTTTTCCTTAGATGGAATGGTGTTCGCACCACGAGCAAGGAGCGCACATGTTTGCACTGGAGGGGAGAGCGCCTCTCCCCACCGGCCGCTACCCCTGCTGCGGGGAGAGGGCCTACCGCTTCGAGACCATCAGTAGGAACACTGTTAGTATGGTGGGCAAAGAAGGTCTGTGGGCACGACACATTAAGACGGATTTCGATTACGAAAGCTCTCAGTTCCATAATTAATTTCAGTCAAGTGGTAAAAGCCAAAAACTATTTTCTTGCAATTTTACCCCTCCTCCGTCCTTGCCACAGTTGGTCACATTCATGAGTGGTGTGTGACGTTACTTATTTTGCTATTTTTCATGTACAAATGTATTAAATTAAAACAGCGGTTCAGACTATTTACCAACAAAACAAAAACCCATACAGATAGAGTTCTAAATATTTTAAAGTTTTTTGATAGTTCAAAAATATTATTTTGAAATGTGACGTCACAAAACTAAGGACTTCTCCCACCCCTTGTCACACTCGGACGAGCCCCTTCACTCCCCTTGACGTCATGTCCTCATTAGGGGTTATCCATAAAGTGCGTCACAACTTAATGGATGACCCCTGATGATGACATATTGAGACTGACCTTCCGTCAGGGTTGCCAGTTCCGCGAGCACGCGCCCGACGAGCGCCTCCCACAGGACGCGGCGGTGATGGAACTGTACAACAAGTTCCGCGACATCATCGCCATGAGGCCCCCGCAGCTCATGTTCCCCGAGCGACTGACGCGCCTCGTCACCAGGGGTATGTATGAGGTCGACACCGCCATCATACAACAAGTTCCGCGACATAATCGCCATGAGGCCCCCGCAGCTCATGTTCTCCGAGCGACTGACGCGCCTCGTCACCAGGGGTATGAGCAAAATCGTCCTCACATCACTCAGACTCATAGAGAATGGACTGAGCGTTCCTTTGTCCATCTGTGAAGAAATGGATAGATAAGTTAGAGACGAAGCGAACGTGCTGCCAGTAGTCCGTGTATCTATTGTTTCCATCATAAATTTATCTCTTTCTATCTAGAGAGTTCAATTTCATGCTAATGTCGTTCAATCCATTCTCTCCAGTTTTCGAATTTAAATCCACATTTTTATCATTTTGACGATCACGATCAATCGCTTCGTATCGAGTGTATCTTAAGGTGTTCTAAGTACTAACGCTCACTCTGGTCATACCGTATTCTTTTCTAGAACTTGTCTCGACCTCCATCGCGCTTAGGATGGCGGTAAGCCGTTGGTTTCGCGACTGCATCTGCAGATGTCCAATCAGCCGCACTAATAATCAAAATTTACAGGATTTAGAACGTTTAATATAGTAGGGCACGAATGTCAACATTTAGCATTCATAGAACCTAGAATAAGCTTTGTCTTTTTAGAGCCGGACGATGATAGTGGTGGCCGGCTCCAGTGTAAGGAGGTGTTCTGGTGGGAAGGTATCCAGCTCGCACCACCTCGTCAACCGCTCGGGCTGCTGGGGAAGCTGTACTCCAACAACAGCAAATTCAACCGTGAGCACATACTGTTATATTAATTATGAATACAGGCAGAAATATACTTATGTGTCGTGTTATGTTGTGACGCATCAGAGAGCTATCGGGGTTATCATACATGAAGCGGAGAGCTAGTGGGATGGAAAATGAAAGTTAGGATTTTGGACGCAATGGGTTTATTTACATTATTTTAAAGTAATACGCAAAATAATATTAAAGCAGATGACAGACAATGATTACGAGAACACAATAAAAATATTGATAGCAAAAATCATAAATATGTCAATACTTTAAAAACACTTCAAAAAACTATAAAAACAAATCTATCAAAAAAGGTCGGCAATAATACATTTAGTACGGTTAGATTAGAACTACACTTGTGTGTCGCAATGACACAGCATTCTCAGACTTACCGTACTAAACGGATAGAACCAGATAGCTCTCTGACGCGTCACAACACAACACGACAGATAAGTGTAGTTCTGCCACAACACACGAGTTAAACAAGAAAGGAATCGCAAATGACGACGTACGTAAGACATTCTGACCCTCTCGCACATGCTATTCTAAGTAACGTGCGAGAGAGACAGAATGTGTTACGTCGGCATTTTCGATTCCTTTCTGTAACGAGATGATGACGACGTTATAGCCTCGGTGCGATGACTGGACAATGCTAGTTTCGGTGGACAATTTTGGGGCTTCAAATAGGATAAGTACGTAACAGGTTTAGAACCACAGAAGAACGGTACAGCTTGAGCAAACTTGAAGCTTAATACAAAGGTATTTAATTTATATTTAAATTCATTAGAACTTATGAAATACGATAAAAATGTGCTCTCCGTTAAGGATGACTTATCAGAAATCAAGGCTTATTTTATCTTTAGGGTACAAGAGAAGTTTATGTTGTAGTGATACTTGAACCAGATAGAAAATAAGTGGGATTTATCCTTTAACACATAGATTTAATATTTCTTTATTGAAGCAGAATACTTAAACAAACTGAATACAGTCATCGCACCAATCGTTCATAAAATAGTCATCAGCCGGCACATTTGCTAACTTTTTTGACATTTACAGTGTATCACTGAAGAGAAAATTGCATATCCATTGATGCTTTTCAAACAAGTATCTTAGTGGCGTTATAATAAAGCAGTAATGGATCACTAAATAGCTCGGTGATTATCACTTCCATCTGTCAAAAGCAGTTAGCGAATAGGCCTACTGGAAATAGAAGAGTTCGAGTGTGCAGTGCAGGCTTTGTGTAAAGTATGTTAGCGGGTACTACATAATAATTCAAATGGATTTTGTAATGAGCTAACAGCAAAGCGGTAATTTTTCTTTCAAATTCAAGTCTGTCCATTATTCTAAAGAAATCCGTGCATGGTACGCGCGCGAGTATGACAAAGATGGTTTATCGCCGTTTATCCCCATCCTAAACAACTAAATAACATCCTTTACCCATAACACAGTTCTAAAAAGCAGCAAAAATTGACGGCTATACCTTATTTATCACGTCCTTAACAACCCCTAGCGTGAGCACCGCGATATGATATAGAACGCGTTTTTTCACGCTCAATTGTCAAATTGCTATGGAGTTTGACAGTTACACGCGATAAAAAACGTGATATAATGTAAATTGTGGTGCTCTTGCTACGGGGAATGAAATACATTAGTCCAAACTCCAAAGGAACGCAACGATAAAGTGCAACGTTAAAAAAATCTTACTACTGAGCTGTAGAGTTAAACGTTAACTCTACAAACCTCTGACCTCCTGCACGCTCGACTGCTTTGCATTTATGGAACCTCTACCTATAATTGGCTGTAAATACGCTGCGTATGGATGACATGTAGCAGCCATGTGAAAGCTTGCAAACAAACTACCATGTAACCGCAATTGGCTTAGTAGAATACACAATATTCAGTATATACGTGATAACCAGCCTCACAATATTGAAATAGGAGTTTGTGTAGTGTGAGGTCAGCCTCGAAATCGCACGCCGAAAATTGTGTGGTCTAAACCTATACTTTAGAGACTGTAAATACACGAAGCGTTAACTCGCGAAATAGACACTGCGAAAACTATGCTTATCTAAAGTATAAGGTATGTAAACACATATGACGATATTGTGTATATAAACAAATGAATTTACGTATGGAAAAATACTGAAAAAAATCTCTCCCAATTTGTCTAACTGAGCAGTCTTATCAAGATCGCTGGCAGTTCAATTGAAACGTAAAATTGGCTAGGCATGGATTGTAAAAAACATCGTCAACTTTCAACAACCTAGTTACCCTAGAGGGTATGGCATCAGAAGTATACATGTAATAGTATGGACCGTTATACTTATTGAACCATGGTAATAATCGGTGGCGTGCACAGAACTCTTAGGTAAAATATCTCGTCATCCCGCCTGAAGACGCCTGAGGCTAAATAAATTTCAAGCAAGAATTTCGAGAATCAAAATTGAGCCGTAGGGTCGTGGCGAATGTCTCATATATGCAGTGCACGTCACTAGTAGGGTTACTAACGGCCGCATAAAGAGACATCAAATGATGACATTGAAAGTCACATCATGTCTAATATAATCGCAAAGAATATGACAGCACTATCTTGGATGAAAGGGAGAGAGAGAAAGAGAGAGAGAGAGAGATTCCTCCTTTCAGTTAGGTTAGGTTAGGTTAGATCACTGAATTGATGTCTCGGAGTACGCACGCGTGGCAGCTGGCGCGCGGCCCGGCTCGCCCGCGCTGTTGTCTGCGCAGGCGCACTCGGTCGCCTGCTCCGGCACCGCCATCTCGCCCGAACGGAAAGACGTCCGCAAAACCAAGGACAAGGAAGACTCCCCTAGGAAGGTAAGGATAGAACAAAGGACAAGGAACACCTGAATAAGAGATAAATCAGACCACGCGTTTAGTCTCTAGTGTGTCACAAAGAAACATACTCGTACATAGTTACATATTATAGTCTGTTTAACACAATACCCTCTCTGCGCGTCGGTCGTCGCGCCGCTTAGGTCGCGCAGTCAGGTAAAAATGGTGTGGTTTTTATAAAAACATGATCACACTCACGACACGACACTGGGAATCGAACCCGAGCCGCCGTCATTTGCCGTAGTAGATGAGCTTTCTACTAGTGAATCACCGATGCTCGTTGATAAGGTATGATTTTTTTATAACAATTAACAGTGAAATCCTACATGCATGCAATGCACAAAACATTGTGAATATGTAATTAAAAAAAAATAGTTTAAAAAGGTCTGCTCGAAGGACCAGTGGCCTATTTCAACTCTTAGTTGTGGCTCTTGTGTGTTCTCATTTTGTCTTAATGATTTCACCTCGTCACATGAACTTATTTGTGTGCTGTATTACATCAGTATTTTTTTGTAATTGATTCGTTATACTTGGGGCTGTCTTTATGGCTTTTTTTTAATGATAATAGCAGATTTCTCATCTAAATGGTTTGGGAAAGTGAGTGGGAAAGTTTACATTATTATAGAAGACCACAGTATAAGAACTGTACTTATTGGTGGCGCTGTATTTATTGAGACTCCCAAAGCTCCATGGGGAAGGGTATGGGGTCAGTCATAGTGTGTGTGATATATATATTTTTTATTTATTTAATCTTAATGTGCAAAAAGATATTCTGATATCGCAAGCGTCTATAGTGACTATTAGTGTCGCCGCACAAGGGCCACACGCCACAGCCACAAACGCTGCCACGAGAAGCTAGAAGCGGCTACTAAAGTGGCTGAAGCGCACGACAGCGGCCGACTCAGGTAAGGGAGAGAGGGGTGGGGAATCGCGCGAGTGACGTGTGGCGGCGTTTTGTATCAGCGCATTAAGTGGCCGGTGCGGGCCACAAGAAGCAAGCAACGACGATTTGTAGCGTGTGGCGGCCACCGGCACCGTGTGTGGCGAGTCCATATAAAATGTATGAAAACTACAAGAAATATGCCGGTGGCGGCGTTTTGTGGTTGTGGTCGGTGGCCCGTATGCGGCGACACTAGGTGATTTGTCAACCATTTTATTTTAAATTATTATTTAAAGATTTTTTATCTTAAATTGTTAGTTAGTAAATGTAGTACGTTTGTATCAGCTTGTCGTTAAATTAGTATAAAAACCAGCAAAGCGTTGAATTATTGCAATTAAGTATATTAATTAGGACATACGCTTTTTGATGTAGACTCAGTCAGTAATTATTTTTCTTCGATACTTTAAGTATCGTAAACATATAGGTAGTTAGTCTCCTCAATATATACATTTCTGGGACCATTAAAATAGAGAGAAGCACAACTAGATGTTACATCATACGCAAATAGAAACAATAAATATCTTTCGATAAAGTAGAAGAAAATTTACTAAAGTAGTTAGGTAAATTTTGCACTTTTTACTATATTATTATTTACTTGTGTTAATTAGTAGTTAAGTATTCGTTGTACATTCCGATGCAGTAAGTGAAAAGCATCCTATAGGAATTATGTCGTTATCTCTGTTTTCACAATAACATCATGAAGACTACAGTACTACGCATGCTCTAAGAGTATAATGCTAGTTAAACTTTATTCAAGGAAACGATACGTAGTACCTGACTATACAGGGCTAATTTTAAAACACCAACAACCTCTTAGGGGTCATCCATAAATAACGTCACACGAATTTCATGATTTTTGTCCCTCCCCCCGTCCTTGTCATAGCTGGTCACATTTGTGAGACTCCCCTCCCTAGTGTGACGTCACATATTTTACAAATTTACATTTAGAAATTATTTAACGAAAACTGCGCTTCTGAAATCAGTTTTATTTCCATTTAAATTGTTTTTGATAATATTAACATCAAATCAAACAATTAACAAAACAAAAAACGATTGACTATGTTAATATAAGAAATTAATAAAACAAAAACGATTGACTTTATTAATTAGAGAAATAAATAAAATAAAAAAAATATTATAATAGCATTATAATTAAATTAAAGATACAAACTTAATAATCTTGAGTCTATGGACATTGAACCCAGTCCTTTAAATTATTTATAACTGGCTTAGCACCACAGAACACAGAACTGTATTCTGTGCTTAGCACCACTTTGTTCTCGTTTGGGTTGTTCATGTTTATGTAAAGTAATAGTTCCAACACTTAGATTGTAATAGATTTTGAAATGTGACGTCACGAAATTTAGGACCTCTGCCACCCCCTTGTCACACTTCGTCGACACCCTCCCGCCCCTTTAACGTGTGACGCAATTTATGGATGGCCCCTTGGGGGGTGATTCTACCCATCAACAGGAACAACTTTTACTATGGAACCATGGGGTTTCATATATTTCGGTCGATTAGCTGATGCACTTTTGTATGAAACAGCAGTTTTTTTTTTCGCGATTTCAGCGTTTGTCCCATAATAAAAGTTGTTACTGTTGATGGATAGATTCACCCCTAAGAGGTTGTTGGTGTTTTAAAATTAACCCTGTATATCGACGAAGCTAAGCTTTTCTGTCATTTCTCCTTTATTGCTGTCATTCCTCCGTCTTTTTTTGTGTTCTGTGGTGTCCGGTCTCTTTTCTTATGTGATGCATTTTCCATGGGCTATATATAGCCCTCAAGGCCAGTCCTTGATCTTAGTCAACGTTAGGTGAGCTATTGTATGATAATAAAGAATAAGCTCTACTAACCGTTTCCGTGAACAGACTACCTTATATACATATAGCTCGTTTTCGTTAATTAACGCGTACTTGGGCATAACGAAGAAAGGTGCAGTATGCGGTGCCGGTGAAGCTTGCTCGTCGACGGCGGCGTGCGACGAGCAGTCGAGCGAGTCGAACGACGCGAGCGAGCAGAGCTCGGACAGCGCGCGCAGCGACGAGGACGGACCGCCGCGCGTGCGGCGCGTGCAACCCCCGCCCAGAGCTGCTTCCGCGCAGCCGGCCAGGTTAGGACATAGGTATCTTCTTTTTTTTTTTGTTAACGCAGGCAAAACCTGTATCTACAGACACTGCCGCCATTAAGGAACACATCAGCGAACGTGCCTCACACCCAGCATCTCGCAAGCATTACGGGCGTGATAACGGAAAATTCGTCAAAGCAAGCCTGCGGCTTACGAGCGCGTCCGGCATACTAAAAAAACCCTGTAAATACCTCTTGAAGCTGTTTAGTGCAGATTTATGGGATCCCCGTTGAGGGAGTTCCCATGTCCTGGACATACAATACCTAGATCTGTTGCGATGAGGATTTTAATTCTGCAGGTGGCTAACGCATACGGCCTCGTGATCGTGAAAGTTAAGCAACTTTCGTAATGGTCGGTCAACGGATGAGTGACCAAAAACTTATTAGTTCCAGCTCGCTTACTCGCTGTGTGACCCTGAGCTGTTGATGATATTATCGTATAATGTGCAGCCGTCGTATGCGCATGGGATCCCCGTTGAGGGAGTTCTCATGTCCTGGACATACTATACCTAGATCTGTTTGATGTGGATTTCAATTGTGCAGGTGGTTAACGCATACGGCCTCGTGATCGTGAAAGTTAAGCAACTTTCGTAATGGTCGGTCAATGGATGAGTGACCAAAAACTTATTAGTTCCAGCTCGTTTACTCGCTATGTGACCCTGAGCTATTGATGATATCTCTTATCTAATAGACAAGTCCGTCCGTCCGTGGTGCTGTTTCAGCGGCCAAACCGTAAGAGATAGATAAAGAGAATGTATAAGTTATAAGTTAAGAATAGTCTGATAAGACTACAAACCGGATTTGAGTAACGTAGCACTTCCGGTTTTCGAGAAATCGCGTGATTTCTATTTCAAACGAAACCACACAAAATCTCCGAAGTTCTCAATTAATTAAATACATTTTTTTTTGTGAACATTTGGTTCACTGGTTTGCTAGTTATCGTATAATTTGCAGCCGTCGTATGCGCGTGTCTGGTCGCGTGTGGGTGGCCTCTCTATCGGCGCGCAGCAACCAGGACCAACAGCGGCGGTTCGAGGAGCGCGCCGCCCGGCAGATGCGGGCCGCACTCGCGCGCCGCGCCGCGCTGCAGACGGCTAAGGCTAAATCACCCGCGGGTATGTAATAATAAAACTGAACAATAATAATAATATTTCCAACACTCACACCAATTATCCTAGCCCCAAAGTAAGCACTATAAGGCTTGTGTTATGGGATACTAGGGTAACGGATAGAATACATATACTGTACATATATAAGTATATTTATATAGAAAATACATATTAAACATCCATGACTGGAGTACAAATGCTCGTCGTATTCATCACACAAACATCTGCCCCCACCGCGATTTGAACCCAGGACCTCTCGAGTCGGCGACACCATGAAACCCGGCGTACAAACCACTCGACCACGGAGGTCGTCAATAGGCACCTAAAGTGCAGTGAAGTGATGTTAGAGCAGAACACAGTGAGGCGGGTTGAGAGATGGTCGGAGATCGTCTGGATTCTGCCGACATTTTATATGTTCTCCAGACTCCCGAAAAATAACGAAATCTCCCGCCAAATGAACATAACGATGCACTTTTCTTTAACCCCGTGCCACAATATTATTTGAAAATAGTACACGGGTTTGGGGCACATGCACTGTGGAGAACGGAAGGAGTTGAACGTGAGACGTCCGGCGATTTGGGGAAGGGTTGTGCGTCCCGACAACAATCCCAAAATCTCGACAATAGGGTATTTGGCAAGATTAAGAAAACGATCGCAGGTTATTTAATAATGTTTATAGAGTGCACAAAAAATGGATATTTTAATTCTGTTGTGTAATTCAGTAAAAGAACTAAATTAAAAATTTAATTTTCAAGTTCTTACATGGTAAAATAGTTATATTTTCTCGGTAGGTGGCGTTTACGCAAAACTGGAGGCTGATTGGCGGGAGCGGTACGGGCAACGCACGCGCAACCCCGCCACTGTGTCGGCCAGACCTCGCCCACCCCCCAAATACAAATAAACGAGACATAAAATAAACTTACTTTTTGTTTAGATTTCAAAACACACGTTAAGCTGAGAGAAATTACAGTAGTAAACTAAAATGCATTATGCTTACGCTAACCCAAAGCCTATAACTACTTGAACTAAAAAAAGCGTTATAATCTTCAATATAAGATTAGGGACACGATATCGAATAGAAAGTATGGATACTGTACTCATGAGTAGTATCGGTAAAAAAGTATCGTACTCGTAAAAGTATCGAAACAAAAGTATCGATACTTCAAAGTATCGAGTACATTTCATAGGGCCTTATCGGAGCCTCTGTGGCCTGATGATGATGAGCAACCCCCCCCCCCCTTATTTATTTATTAATTAAAATGTTAATTTTAATTATGAATGTAATTAACTTTTCAGATTTGTTTCAAATTAAACTTACTTTTCTTGAATAGGGAAGATGCATACATAATATTTATGAAAATTTTATGATTAAAATGTTAAAAAAATATAAAAGAAATGCCACTGCAACGTTTTTATTTTACATAATGTTGTTTTTTAACAATTATTACGAATTAAAAATACTTGAAACGGAACGTATTTTAAAACACCAATCAGCGTTTAGTGACGTCACTCCTGTTATGACAACTTCTTTGAGGTTATGGTTGTTAAAGTAAATATTATTTTATGGGAATATTTAATGCGTTTTTTTACATTTAATAAAAATGGAAGTTGCGTTTATCAAAGCAGACTCCAGGAATTTACCAAGAGTTAGCGTTGACATGGTTATAACTTTTTTTGTCCAAAGTGCAGAGTTTTTAAGTGTAGAAATGAAAGGGACTAAATTACTACGGTATGTAAAAATCGTAGTTGTTAAACTTCGTATTTTATTCAGCGGCTTCTACAAATCTTACGGCGATAATGCAATCGGCTATGTCCAAATTAAAAGAGATGGAGAATTATGTACAGTAAAAGGTCGAGTTCTCCGGAGCATAAAGTACATAAAGAAGGTTATCGTGTTACAGTTATTTTAAATGAAACGCAAAGCTAGGTTCAGTCCTGCCAATGTGAAGATTGTGCCTCACATTTTAAACTTTATCTAATTTTCGACGTCATTCTCCATTCAAATGTCAATAAACTGTAAAATTAAAAATATATTAAAGACAGGTTTTGTAAGTATTAGGTAGGTTACTAATGCGTTTTTACGTACAAGCAGATTAATTAAGCATATAACAAGTATATTCGCCGACTTACGTCAAAGTGATCTTCTCAGCATCGAATAATGGTCTTTGGAGAATAATTGTCATTTCTCTTCGCAGCTTGAAACCACTTTTTTTTCAGTTTTGGGTCAGAAGTTTCAGTCAAAAACAATTTATTTGGGAACTTCGTTGAAGTAGATTGGCACAGAACATGAGTCAACACGGCTTTTTTTTCGGAATATTAGTGGTATTGTTATGATCACATGATGTTGATGGATAGTCCATTTTAAATTTTTCTAAAAAATATTTCGAAATTCGAAAAAATATGCAAAAGTTTGAAAATTTAAAGCCAGCAAAGAACAAGTACGACCAGTAACAGACAGGAGTGACGTCATCGCAACCATAGGTTCGTTTTCGCGCGAAAATTTAAATTGTCAATTTAAAACCGCATTTTTTCCGATAAATCACAATGTTTTAATTTTTTAATATATCTGTGGTTTATTCTGTATGGAATTCTTTAAAATGAAAACAAAAATAAAAATATTGCATCTTCCCTATTTTAATCATTAAAAAACATTATACCCGCTTATGTTAACTTCAATCTGACACGCAGTTAACGACTGCCATTGGCATGCTTCACTCAAGATTATAATTATAGAAGAGGTTACGTCCGTTTTTTTATCAGGTGGTTTGAAATAGGTATACATAGTACAGACAGAATAATAATGTTACACTTGAATAAATCGAATACAGTCAAGCGAAAAGCACAATAAACGGCGAATCAATCACTGTTCCTAACAATATGGTCGCTAAATAAATAACTATGAAACAAAACAAAGCGCAAAATAAACACAGTCACAGATTGGAAAGAATTTGAATATGTCAGTTACTGACTTTATAACAACGCAATAGGGCATTTGACAGTATTAAAAATAAAGTGCCAAAATAACGAAAAAGATATAAGTTTTCTTATCTATTGTCACGTAACCCAAAACGCTTGGGATTGGCGGAGCCTAAAAAAATGACGTCACACGTAAGTAAACTTCCGGTCAAAGTGACATTACATTGTATCGTTTGACGTTTTAATAAGTCGTGTGACGTCACACACTAGTAAGACGCCATATTGTCCAGAGAAACGTTTTCGCGGCAACTTGAAAATGGAGTTTTTGATTTGGTTATTTTTACTAAAATACACAACAGAGTGATGAATATCCACTTTTTATGGACTCCATAAACATTAGTCATTAAAGTGAGATCGTTTTCTAAAACTTGTCAAATACCCTATGGAACGTTTTAGAAGGTTTTGCTATGATTTAACAACATGGGGTTGCCATCAATATGACGCGCTTATCCAAAATTTTAAAGGTATCGATACTTGCCAAAAAGTACTCATTTAGTAAAAGTATCGAGTACAAAAGTATCGGTATCGAAAGGAAAAGAACTCGATACCACAAAGTATCGATACTTTTTTCGTGTCCCTATATAAGATTAGTCTTGGGACTTTAACTTTAAAAGTCATATGAAACGCTTTCGTTAGTAACTTCCTAAAAAAAGGGTTCCCACACAAATGACCCAGGATTTAGTCTTAGGTGTTCATTGACACATTATAGAAGCGCAGCCGGTGCGAAAAGTGGTTGCAGCGCAGGCCAAACGCTGACTTCATTCTGGTATCCGCGTAGATGCTTCTTGTCTGCGCTATCCCTCATTATTTATATTGCGTTCTATAAGTCATGTGAAATGCCTATGTTAGTAACTCTCTGAAATTAGCACGAAATGGCACAAGAGATAACATGGTCTAAAATCCGAACCTACATCGACCTTCACCGAGCTGATAATAGATAGTTTATTAGAAGATGTATTAAAAATGGGTTGCCTAAAAAATCCTGGAGACACTATTTTTAATCAATTTAAAAAATATATTTTTATTTAAATGTTGCAATATCAAGATAATAAGAAAATTATGTACTAAAAACAGTATAAAACGTGCACCCCTTGGGTTGTATATTATTTACCTGGGCGAACTACTGTGTTGCCAAGTATATAATTTAAGTCAGAACAACATTTTCTTATCATCTTGATTTTGTTTTAATTTAAAATAGTCAGTTCGAGGATTTTTTTAGATAATCCATTTTTAATATATTTTGTTTTTTTTTTCTCATTATTAGGGTAAACAAACAATGATGCAATCTTGTTGCATTATAAACTAATACTATCAGTCTACTAATTGCATCATCCACTACATTTACCACAGTTTCTAACAGTAATTAGCATTGGGAGACTATACATTTAACTTTACTATTAATTTACTCTATTTGCCTATTATACTTAAATATGTAAATATTTTATAATACAATTTCTGATTTATTTATTTGTAATATACTAAAGTCGTGATAAAATATGTTTTAAGTAATCTATTAACAGCTCGGTGAAGGTTCGGATCTTCTACTAACACGAAATGAGACACAGGATTTAGTCTTAGATGTTTATTGACACATTATAGCCTAGAAGTGCAGCCGATGCGGGTAGTGGCTGGAGCGCAGGCCGAACGCTGACTTCAGGTATCCGCGCAGCTGCTTCTTGTCCGCGCGCGCGCCGATTGCCTTCACTACCGCCTCGTCTACGAGCTTCTGGTCCGCCTTGCGCTGTTCCGATGGAACGTATTTCTGCAACACAGATTGCGAGATTTATTACGGAATCACCGCTGAAATCGCAAAAAAAATCTACTGTTTCATACAAAAGTGCATCAGCTAATCGACCGAAATGAATGAAAAAGCTGTTTTTTTTGTTCGCGATTTCAGAGTTGGTCGCATAATAAAAGTTGTTCCTGTTGATGGGTAGAATCACCCTCTAAGAGGTTGGTGTTTTAAAATTAACCCTGTACATAAACAGAAAACACATGACTTAATAATGCGTTAAATGAATGTGACGTTTCTGAATACGGCTGATAGACGGAGATTGGACTGAACGATACTTGCATGGAATTGACAACTGTATAGTTTTGTAGAGATACTCTAGAAAGCAATGATGTTTTGTACTGGTATGAATTCTACTAGTATTCTAATAAACATAAGCCCGTGCCTGTCTGCGATAATTTAAGTTTTTGGCAATCCCTGAGGAATCTAAGAGTTTTCACAGATAAGAAATACCATGTCTTAATCCAGGTAATAAAGTATGTGGACCATATGTCATTCCAACCTCTTCAGCCGCTTTTGTCTAATTAAGTAACTAACTTTCAAATCTTACTTACAACTAATTATAAATGTGAAATTTTGTAAGTTTGCTAGTCAATCACGAAAAACTACTAAACAGATTTGGATGAAATTATGTACACACTAGTTGTGCCCCGCGGTGTTACCCGCGCTTTATTAGGGATAAGTTCCCGCAGTAAAACGTAGCCTATGTGTTAATTCAGGATGTCAGCTAACTCCATACCAAAATTTATTAAAATTGCTCCAGCCGTTTAGACGTGAAGAAGTAACAAACATACACACTCACAAACTTTCGCCTTTATAATATTAGTGTGATACATTGTATATGCCCTGGATTGAGATATGCGACACTCTTTTATTCTCAAAAATTAAAGTAAATGCGGAGGAAGGAAAAGAGAGGGCGGCCGCTAGTACATATTATAAATATAAGTTTTTATGTTTTGTATGAAATTTGCCACACATATATTTATTACTGGATACACAGTATATTTCTAATCCCGAAAAAAAAACTGAGGGATTCTAAGAAAAACGCAGAAGTCGCGCGTGGCCCCTAGTTGTTACGCGTTGGCCACGTAGATGGGCTAGGCTAAGCGCGGGTGCGGGTGACTTCTGCGGGCGCGGGTGGCATGCCACGTACATTCAGTAGCGGCTACAGCGGCTGACTAAGTGGACGTATTGAGGATGGCTTTAACTAAAGTGATGCGTAGTTTCCTTGAAAGCAGCTCGTATTTTATGCCGAATACTATACTATACTTGTACCTAATTATTAGTAATTAGGTATTATCTAATGAAACTTACGGTCCTGATCTGGAAAAAGCTGTTTGATTTCTTCCCATAGTCTTTTTATTACATTTTTATACATGTGTTGTGGATGCTTAGACACCCATATAGGTGGTCGGTTTAATATTTGTGTAATAAATGCTTCGGTGTCCCTAATAAAAAGCTGCCGCTCGTGGATTCGTCCAAAAAATTTTGTTTCGCTCGATCCGTCCCGCGCTAGCCGTTTTCAACCGCCCGAAAACCGCTGTGCACCGTGGCCATGCGCGAACTAGCCCATAGCTGTTTCCACCCGCCCGCCTCGCCGGATACCGCTGCCCCGAACCGCCGCCGCCAGCCGCAGCCGCTCTAGCCCGCCGCGCGCGAGTCGTGGCATACTTCATACATTCTCATACATTTGTTTATAATTAAACTAATTAGCCAACCGCCGCCGCCACCCGCAACCGCGCCTAGTCCGTCTCCGTGGCCAAGCACTTAGAAGGATATGGAAGCTTGTTTGTTACTCAATCACGCAAAAACGGCTAAATAGATTTGGATGATATTTGATACACATATAGCATATGACTAGGATTGAGACTTAAGATACTTTTTATGCCGGAAAACCCATAGGTTCCTGTGGGATTAAAATAAACTATAACATCGCCGAAGTTGCAGGCGATCGCTAGTTTATTGGTTTTTACATTTATCAATGATCTAAGCCAATATTGGTACCACTTAATATATATAGGCACAACCCCTCCAGCACCCCATTTTAAAGCACATTTTGAGCATTGTGCCATTTTGTATATAACATAACCTTAGTACTTCATAATTCTGAATCACTTGAGTCTGACGAAATTCACAAAAGTGCACCGCCATTATCCAAAAAGAAGAAGAAGACTTCATAATTTTCGAGGATGGCGGAAGCAGTCTAGCTAGCTAGTCTATTAGGCTATCGGGGCATATGACACTGTCGATAATATCACGATACCGTGATATTATTGACAGTGTAATATCTAAGTATCTTGATAATATTGATCAGTGTACGATACCCCATTGACAAAATACAAGATTTGGACACCAACCTCTTTCTTTGTGGCGAAGATGTCTTCACCCTGCTTGCGTTTGACGCTGCGTTTGGTGCTCTTCTTGTTCTTCTTGAAGTAAGCGTCGTCTAAATGTGCTGGCAGTTTGAAGTCTCCCAAGTCTACTTTAGTGGAAGTGCCGATGACATAACGTTGAGGGATCCTTCTTAGCGGACACGAGTTGAACTGTCAAATGTAAGGGAGATTTGATAAATGATTTTGTTTCATATTTAATTTGCAAAAATAGATTAGAATGTGAAATGGAAACGCAAACAAAGATATTTGGTGACACATTTCTTTGTTGCAGTATCCGCAAATGGATTGCTTTGCCAGCTCACATGTACACTTCCTTGTATAGCCCGGGATCCTTTAAAAGAGGCGTAAAGAAGCAATATGCAGGTCGGCTAGGTGAGAATGGCTGGTGTGGCAGTTCATAACTGCTGTACCAGCTATCTTTTTGACTGGACTTCACCACCACTTAACATCAGGTGAGATAAGAGGCATTTGCCTACCTTACCATAATAGAAATATTACCAGAAAACTATCTTATTGCTTCAGAAATATGCAACTTGTTTGTCTTTTGAGAAAATTCAGCAGTTAATATTTAAATGATGTAATTCTAGATCTAATGACTGGAAAATTAAACAAGCAATCAGGCAATGATTACACAATAATGCAGTTTATTGCTGATTTTGATAGAAACTATGAATAAAATCTAATGTCCGATTTTCATAACAGAAGAGTTTCAGTCATTTAATTAAGAAGTGACTGAGTTTAGTTAAATAATTTATAAATACTATGCTATATTATCTAAGCAGTGACATCTCACATAAGATTTTAAAGTCCTCTATCCTGCTATTGCCATACCTTTTTGCATGGCATCAGAATCTTAAATACAATTTGACATGCAACAAATAAATAAATACTCACCTCAAATGGTCCAGTAACAAGCAGTAGTCCACTAGGTAATACAGCAACGAGTACCACTCGTTTCCCAGCATGACGACCCGCTAGCAGAATGCAGACGGTGCCTGGAGTGAGGTTGGGCCGGGTGCGTCGGACGTGCTTACTGAATGTAAGGTGGTGGGGGCGCTTCTCGATCCTGGTAACATAGATAGATAATGGTTTATTTTATTGTTATAATATATAGTAACTTAGAGTAATAATTTAAAATGTTTGTTTAACTAACACTGACAAAAATCTAGAATAGCACTTTTTACATTTTGTTTTTATTTCGTTTTGCTAAGAAACCCTCCTGTGTATTAGCTATATGAAATTGGAATAATTGTGCGAAAAGCACTGCTGAGCTATTAATAAACAAGATGAAAATAAAATAATATTAACTTCAGGTAAAAGCAATTTTTTCAGAATAATTGAGTAATGTAAGGTCACACTAAAATAGTAGTGAAGATTTGACATCATCAAAATTCATGTAAGTATCAAGTGATGGTAACATTTGAGGAGCTAGCGAACAAAACAGTATAATTACATAAAATTAAATTATACAAGAGCTGCATAAAACTGAATGACATATCTCCAGTGAGCTTTTGGCATTGTTTTTAATTTATAAATTTGATAAATTTAACACTGTTTTAGACGGTTTTAATCGAAAAATATTTGAGATTCAAATTCAAAGGGCCCTAAACCTCCGGTCTGTAAAAATTTGACCAGATGCATAATTATATGGTTCTGTTCGCTAGCTCCTCATTTTATAAGCAAAAGCAGTTTAAGTTAAGTGATAGAACTTTATTAGAATATGCACCAATCAAAGAAAAAGAAAACTGCTTTTTTTCAGTTATTTTTGATAATATTAAACAAAGCTGACATTGTAGCTAATTATGACAACAACAAAATAAATGCCTTAAACCTTCTAATTTATAATTTTTATATACTGTTAGGTTCCTCAGCGCATTTTTCATTATTAACTGAATGATTTTTCTGTTTGTATCACGGACAACTAGAAATCTGTAGATAATGTTGCACATGTTTATAGCCATCATAGTGGAATTATTAAATATCAAAAAAAAATATGTCTTTTTCGGTTAAATTGGACAAACTTATAATAAAAATTAATTTTGTTAAGAAAATTTTGAAGAACTGTTGATCATTTGATATGTTGTACAACATACTTTTTATTCATAATTTGCACTGACCCTGACCATACATTACATACATTAAATGATATGGGTGATTCTCAGTTAAGAGGTATGTTCGATGGCTAAGTCAAAAAAACCATTATATTTGGAAATTATGGTCTAAAATCTTAATAATTTCAATTAACTAAATGTGTTCTAAATTGACACTTAAAATTATATTCTAAATGTGCATAATTTACTAACAATAACTGCACAAAGAGGAAAAACATCTCTCCCCTGGGTTGTCCCTTAACCATTTTTTTTGTAAATCAGTAATTTTGAGTCCATTGAAATTTAATTATTTACTTTTCTATCGGTAATAACATGAACCCTGATAACTTAGTTACAGTATATAATAATAATAATAATAAAGCCTTTATTTTTCTGTTATACAGGTTTTTCATTTTAACATTTATACATCTTACATACTAACAGATCCCTTTCGGGTATAGGCCTCCTCCAAACTCTTCCATTTTTCTCTGTCCTTGGCAATATTTATCCATTTTGGTCCAGCTATTTCTTTTATATCGTCAGACCATCTTTTCTTTGGTTTTCCCACTCTACGTTTTCCTATTGGCCCTTTCCATGTTGTTGTTCTCAATGTACACCTCTTATCTTTGTATCTGGCAATGTGTCCAGCCCATTTCCATTTAGATTTCATAGCAAAGTCTAGAGCATCTATGACTTTAGTCTTGCTTCTTATTTCAGTTCTTCTAATTTTATCTATCCTTTTTAGTTTTAGAATGCTCCTCTCCATTGATAGTTACAGTATGTAACCACTAAATTCATTTATATTTGCACTTTTTATAAAAAATATTAATCGCAAACTGTGTCCTCCGAGTTTCGAGTCTCGTCCCCTGGCCTTAGGTTTAGTTTGAAAATCGTATTTGTTTACCATAGTCTGTGGTAGTTCTGACCTTGAAGATACCGAGTGTCACATGAGCTGGCAGCAAGCGCTGCACAAGCCATCCGCGCGGCAATTTTTTTGGCCATTTGCGCAACGGTACTCGATAAGTACAGCCATGTTGAGTGATCGAAGTATTTACCCTGGTCATTTTTTTTCGTAATTATGTGTTTAAATACTACAATATCTATATACATTTATTTTAAATAGTGCTGCAAACCTTTTATTTATTTGAAATCTTTGTAAAATTAGTAGTTTTACGGCAATTTTAGATTTTTAACGAAAATGTTTTGCCTGCCATATTTCCCCTGGCTATTATGGTGCCAGGCTACTAACAAAACTATAAAAATGATGCAATAGCTCAATAACAGTAATGATAATTTATTAGAGAATGTACAATTGCATATATTTTAGATAATTGTTTCGCTTTATATCGTTATTCCACTAAAATCTGATTGCACGGATAAGTACTTTACAGTGCATCCTAATATGCGCTCAAAGCGCATTGCAATAAAGTTCATCTTGTCTCTACCCTGTACTCAGTATCTCCCCTGGTGTCTCGTAAAATGAGAATAAATTAAAAAAATGACTGATCATCTTAAAATCATATTAAGATCATCTGTCTTGATAAAAGTAGTGATATAGTTATATAAATATCGATACTTTTTGCTGTGCCACTGCTTTCATACAACCACCTCTTAACTGAGAATCACCCATATTTAAAAAAAAAATATTGAAGTTGGGTTTCATTAGTTATTTAATTCTTCAACTACGATAATGATTTCTTGTAGTGATTGTTAAAAAAATTTTAAGATATCAAATAAAATTAATATAGTGTTAACATACTTGTCCTGTGTGGGGTAGAAAGATTTCCTACGGCGCAGCAGGACAGTACGTGTGCCTCCGTTCTTCTCACCACCAATCTGCTTCACTACAACTGTAGGCTTCTTGGGCTTTTCTGCCTTAGGGTTCTTCTTACCAACGAACTTGTACTTAGCCTGGAAAATAATGATGACTTTTGTTTACACATTGTTGTCCAAGAATATTGGGAAATAAAAACCATTTTCATTTATAAACTTGAAATTTCAGCTATTTACATACGTAATAATATTCCACATTATGAATATTATGCAAGTAAATCTATGCTATATGCTAGTAAATCTATGCTATATGCAAACTGGAAATGCTGCTAGCTCACAGGGGGTTAGATTTTCTATCTAACTGACAATAAAATGTTTAGACAGACAGATATGAGGACTCATTTTTACAAGTATGATAAATTGAAGTAAAGTATATAAACTATGTACTATATTGTTAACTATCTGATCTGCCAACTTTATAACCATAACGTATATTGTACTTGAGGAGTCTATTTTATTATATTTCCAAAGTGTACAGGTACTATTTGTATTAGTTACTTTATCATTAGCATAGCACTATATTGTTAACTATCTGATCTGCCAACTTTATAACCATAACATATATTGTACTTGAGGAGTTTATTTTATTATATTTCCAAAGTGTACAGGTATTATTTGTATTAGTTACTTTATCATTAGCATAGCCAACTAACCTTCTTGTGGAACATCTTTGTCTTGGAGAAGCGAACAACTCCATTACCCAGGTCATAGTTTCTTGGTTTGCCAACTTTGGCCTTCTTAACTCCGCCCGCGGGGGCTGCGGCAGGCTTAGCTGCCGCCTTGGGCTGTGGGGGAGCCATTTATAAGCTGCTGGAACAAAACACAACCTCAATAACAAACTGCCACCTGACACTATAGAGGTTAGGATTTACACTTCATGATAATTTCATACACTCAACGCTTATAATGGGGTCAAAATACACTTATTTCAAATAGGCTGTAACACATTATCTTATTTTACTACTAAAATCTTCTGACCTCCGTGTGCATTCACTAAAAACAACTCACTAACTCGACTGTCAAAGTATTGAATTATGATATTATCCAGATGGAAGGCGTAAAAATATAACAAAATAATCATAGAGCATAGAAAGAACTTTGTATTTTATTTGTAATATCACGTAATAGGTAAGAAATAAATTATATTACATTGGATTTATTTAGAACCAAAACAATTTTCAACTCACAGTCTAACCGGGATCAAGAAAAAGAAGTTTTCATAGAGTTGGGTATTAGTTTATGGCTACAATGTTGCCATGCAAATTTAATGACTTCAATCCGTAGTCTATGCTTCTCATACGATTTTTTTAATGAAAACTAAAGTCCATGTTCTAAACATTAAAAATAGAAATGAAGTTATAAATTAAAGCTATTTGCTCAGTGCTCACTGAAATTTTCTCATTATAGAGCAACACGGAAAGGATTAACTATGGCGACGTATTAATATTCAAATCATTTTTTTTATGTTAAAAGGATGGCGAAACAAGCAAATGCCCTTATGGTAAGCGGCCACTATAGCTAATAGACGCTTGCGATACAAAAGATGTCACTCGCGTCGTTGCCTTCTCTAACTCGCGCCGCTGCCTACCCGTGGAGCCATGGATCGTTACTCACCGAGAGAAACACAACACCACCAAAAAGTTATGTTTTCCAGACTTACACTGCATTTAGATTACGGTAATAGGCACACGAATACTTTTAACATAAAAAAACTGTAATGACGACACTTTTACATAAACAACGACGTAAGACACCGCCAAATCCTGCACACATATATCGTTTCTATGCCCAATTCGTTTGGTCGATTCGGCAAAGGGAAAAGCTGTGTATGCCCACTTCCCTCTATTTTGTTGAAAAAAATAATACTTAATAATTCTTCACTTACACAGTCTGTTAATAACTTCTCGATTAAGGTTTGTGGGTGATATATTTTGTGAAATTGTCAAACATTGAAGTAATTTGAAGAAAAGAATTGGAGCTAATACTTAAGACTTGGCTGTGTGAATGTAGCTTATGCTTTGTTTAGTTTTTGGTAGAATTTATAAAAACAATAACATAATGAAAAACCTGGCAACATTTCTTCAGTGAATTGTCAGTGTCAATATGTTGTCATTGTCATGCATGTCAATAATGTCAAAAAATATGTCAGTGTCGAAAAATGGCTTCCTTGAGGAGCCCGTCTTCGCCGTCTGACGGTTACAAAAGGTTCAGTGATGATTTTGCAAATACCAGCATCAACAATTACGGTTCGAACGTTACAAGTAAACAAGAAGTTATAATATTTTTATGCACTGTAGCCGCAACTTACATTTGTACGCTTTTATTGTACCTATTAACAATACATTTTGTTCTGTTGCTTAACATTTTGTTTTATTCCCATATAAATATTAACAGCTGCTCTTCTATTCCTTGACATTTATATCTTATTGTTCTAAATCATTTTGTTTTCTGTTGTATACCATTATTTAATGACGCATTAGTGAGTCATAGGCGGTCGAACGCTAACCTACTCATGTTATAAACAAACAGTTATATTGGCCGACCTGGGTCGACCCCAATTTTTGTAGTTTAGCGTAGGTATACCTAACTATAAACCTTCTAATTGAAGGACTGTTCCTCTCATGACTTAATGAAAATTCCGCGGCTTTTGCTTGAGCTATTAATGTTAAATTGCATGGCCCTAGAAGAGCACTTATTCGTAATATTCGAAGATAATGTAGTTAGATATCTGTACTAGCAGCACGATGCACGATTATCTTCTAATATATGTAGTGTGAAACTAACTTAGGGATATCATAGTAACCTACCTTTATCCTTTTTAAAACTTACTAAGTACCTACAAAAGTTTAATTATGACCAACGGAACCAATATCTTATTATAAATATTTGAAATTAAATTACTCAATCTCGGCATAGCTATGCTGTGATGAGTATAATGCTTACACAAAGAAATGATAAACCTAACAATTTTTAAATGAAAATATTAAATTAGTGGAAATTCAGTACCTACTAAAATCCTTTTTAGGGTTCCGTAGTCCTGACAAGAAACCCTTATAGTTTCGTCATGTCCGTCTGTCCGTCTCCGGTTTTGTTTGGAGACTATCAGCACTAGAGTGTTGTAGTTTTGTGGAGATGTGAATATCGACCCCCCCTACCCCATCGTGTGCGATATCGTAGGTTATTTAGGGGTTCCTAAGACTATTTTTCGACTTAGGGATCCATTTGCGAAATATTGAACTTTGGAGTGCTAATTTTAGTTCGAGTAGGACATCCCCCCCCCCCCCCTCTAAAACCGAAACTATTGGCTTGAAAAACACCTAGAAAAATTCATGGTTTTTTAAAGTTCACTTTGAAAGAACTTTTAAGGAAAACTATAACAGTTAAGATGGACTTATTACTTTCTTTAACAGTAATAGTCGTTCAACTTTGGTTAAAGTTCTTACCTATTGAAAATTCCTTAGAAGAAAAAATTAATAGTGACATAGATGAAGTTATTGTACAGTGAAACCTTGCATTGCAACAAAATCTAAAAAAAACTATTTAAAAACCACAATAAATATCATTAGTTCCAGAACGTTACCGCGAGTACAACGGTATGTACCAACGGTAACGACTTCTGAGTCGCGCTAACGTTACGTTTTTATAAAAAGTATATAAGCACTTAAAAGATCGGCGGTTATACCTCATGACAAAGGCTAACTAGAGCCGAGGTCCGAGTCTTGGAGACGCCCTCTAGTTGAGCCGACCCCCTCACTCAAGTTCGAGTGGTCTAGAGGCTCCAGACTGAGAGGAGACTTGAGGAGATGCCATCCACCTTTTTTTTTTATACGCAGGCAAAAATACTATTTACAGACGACGGCGCCTTTAAGAGGTACACCACCGAACGGACCTCACACCTGGCTCCCGCAAGCCTTATGAGCCTCAGCAGTGGCTGCCCACTGAGGACCCCGTAACCCTTACGGGCGCTTTACGGCATAATATCCGCTAAAAAACCCTGCGAACACCCTCTAAGCTGCTTAGCGCGAAGCCATCCACCTGGAATACCTCTAGAGGCATTTGCCAATTCTCGGCTTAAGGTCCCCTTAGGATCTCGCCGTCACCAAACCCGGTAATTATGTAAAGGTCATCTGCGATCAACAGCATACATACTCAAAAAAATGGTTGCCTGTAAAGTCGGTTTTACGGGCGAAGATTTTACGTGACAACGTCTTTTTCTCGGTAGAATATTTATTGATATGAATATAATTAAATTGCACAATAGGAACAAGGAATTGAATGAAAATAAGAATTGCACAAATTTTAACTATAGAAATATATTTTGTTTACTAAAACATTGTACATGTAAACTTAAACTTAACACGAGAGACTCATCGTAACGTTACCGAGCGTTACACTTTTTCATAAGTGACTCCCAGCCGCAACCTAATTTAAGACGTTGTCACGTCAAAAAAGGCTGTTATACCGCATCATCCTCTTTTCAGTTGATGATCGCTTCAGATGAAGCTTGTAAGGCCCGTCTGGCCATAAGCATGAACTGCGGGTGTGTTTTAGGCAGTAAGAGTCTGATATAACCTTGCAGCCGGCTGAAGGGTATACATGAAGATTTCACATCCGCTCCCCCGCCTGGGAGGAAACAAAAAAAAATCGGCGATTATCATTCGTATTAAAAAATATATAAATAATATCGAATTGATTTTGAGTTTGAGACGTAGTTTGACTTTGATTTAGGTATTTTAGTTGAGATACTTAAATTGATATTAATTGGTGTTTCTAATTTCCGATATAGAAAATAAGGACTTCTGCTCAAATATATTGTGGTAACTACAGGCATCTACGGAACCCTACACGCACTTGGCCCGTTTTTTAGTTTTTAACATAGATCTAAGAAAATTGGTACTTAAAAAATTTAAACCCAGTCACAAAAGTCATCCCACACAGATTACCTCAGTAGTTTGATGTTTTATTGAATTGAATGATATTTTCTTATCTCTAGGTACCAATATCTTTACTATAACAACCCATATCTATCAGAGATATGCAACCTTTCTTTAATTTTTACGAGTAAATAAGTAAATATTCTGTTTTAAAGGATTGGTTTACAATTAACCGTGATAAAACAAATATGAATGTTAATAGCAATCAATGTAACTAGCTGTTAAATAATTTGTTTAAAAGATTTTATTATTAAATACTAGCGGACGCCTGCTACTTAGTTCGCGTTAACTTAATTTTTTTAATCCCGCATCCTTACATTTATCCGGCATTAAAAGTATTCCATGTCTCAATCCAGGTCATAAACTATATGCGTACCAAATTTCATCCAAATCCGTTCAGAATTATTTGTGTTATTGAGTAACAAACAATATCACTTTCGCATTTATAATATTAGTTAGTATAGGATGATCTTATAGCATGTAGGTACCAAAATTTTAAGAATTGGCAGTCAAAACAAACACAATACATCTTCTAAACCGCCAATATAGTCCAGTCATAATAGACATTTGACTTGGGCAAAATTGGTGTAGAGCTGAAAATTGGTACAGACGTTAAAACCCCATTAGAAATAAAATGTCAAATACCCCTTTCGATCCTACTTCTGCAAAAAAATATATCCAAGCTCAAACGTACGAAATTAAGATTTTTTCCATTTTTCTTAAAAATGGTAAGTACGAGTATTTATCGTGAAAATAGGTTAGACAAAAGTTTTTACCAATTTTTAGTTCTATGCGAATTTTGGCTTAGTTTCATCTTATTGTTGTCTTTTTAGACTGGACTGCTCTTTCCAGTCATAATGTTTGCAATTTCTGCTTTACCTTATCTATTTACCGGAAACCTTTCATATGTTATAGTGTAGCCTCTTGTATGAGCTGTAAAAGATGAGTACGCGAGTGTAAGCGTCCGTCGGACCGCAACGCAGTTTATTGTTTCAATGATAATTACTGTTTATTGAATTGAGTGCTCAAACAATCGTTAGCTAAGTGGCTATGTCTAATGCTGTGGCAGCAGCTGATAAAATGTATTATACATTAAGAGAACAATGGTACAAAATGAAATCATGTGAGTGATGTTCTATTTTTTATCGCATTGGTTTTGACTACATGGTCGAAAGATTTACCTCGTTTGATTTACATTTCGAGTTAGGAAGTTAAGAGTCAACCAAATAAGCACTAGGTGTATTATGACTAAATTTTCTACAAACTTACATATGGGAGCCGTAACAGCATATACTTTTTTGAGCGTCTCTATCTACTACGTTTTCCTAAGAAAAGGGCGCACTTTTCCTTTCAAAGCCTACCCTACAAAATACGGACGGCTAATTTTGATGATGATATATGATGGGCTTCCGCCCATGACTTTGTTCGCATATAATTCCCGAGAATCCCACAGGGACCTAACATTTTTCCGGAATAAAAGTATACTTACTATGTTTGAATCAAGATAGTAAACTAAGACCCGTATTACAGAAAGACAAATCAAATCTTTACTTGAGTACCGTTAGAAAGGGATATCGCTATGTGCTATATATAGCGACATCCCTTTCTAACTATGCTCAAGACTAGATCAATCACTGAGAATCTTTCTATAATACGGGCCTTAGTGTGCCAAATTTAATCCCATTCCGTTCAGCCCTTTCTCCGTGATTGAGCAACAAACATGCAATCTTTCACATTTAAGTATCTTAATAAGAATAGTATATTCATTTTCGCTGGGTCTACGGTGAGACAAAGGGACCCAGCACAGACCAAAATAGCAAATAACTCTCAAGCTAAGCGACAAATTCGCGTTGGAAACGGTACTGGTCCAGAAATGTTCCGAAAATCATATTTAATGATTTATTATATTTGTAAGACTGATCACTGACATTGATTTATGGTTCGGGGTTACAATTCTGTTTGAAATGCATGGAAATCAAATTAACTCATGTATGCTCAACAATGGCGTGCCGACACTCTTGGGGTTTCACGACAACCAACTAAAATTTGCTCCACATAAATTCTTATGTAAATATCTTTAATTTAACGCCGGAAAATAATAGAAAACTTCGGTAACCACATCAATTTATCATTTATCTTTAGTCGCAAACTAAGCACATCACGTCTCAAACTGTCTTTAGGACTAATAACTGATTTAATAAATAAGCAACCATAACTCCGAAACAAATGAATATTTGTGTTCATCACCTTGCCTTACTGAGATTCGAACCGAAGATCTCTGGGAAAGCAGAAGCCAGGAACTCTACCGTTGCTTATAAAGTAAAACC